AAAAAAAAAAAAAAAACTAGCCGGGCGAGGTGGCGGGCGCCTGTAGTCCCAGCTACTTGGGAGGCTGAGGCAGGAGAATGGCGTAAACCTGGTAGGCGGAACTTGCAGTGAGCTGAGATCTGGCCACTGCACTCCAGCCTGGGCAACAGAGCGAGACTCTGTCTCAAAAAAAAAAAAAAAAAGAAACAGCATAGAGATTCCTCTTATTGTTCGTGCCTTTGCCCTCGCTGGTAGCTAGTTGCAAACTACGACACAGCCATCACAACTAGGGTGTTAACTCTGATTGTCTGTCTTCTTCAGGTTTTCCCAGTTTTACATGCTCTCAATTGTGTATTTCTTTGCAGTTTTTTCAGGTGTGAATTTTCTGAGACCACCACTGCAATCAGGGTACATGGACAAGGGCCGTTTATACCCACGTTCACGTATTCTCTTTCCACCTTAACTGCTCGCAACCACTCATCTGTTCTCTATTACGTGATTTTTTGACATTGGCTTTTTAATTTTATATTGTTATTATTGTAATTTTTGGAGACAAGATCTCACCCTGATGCCCAAGCTGGAGTGCAGTTATACAGTCATAGCTCACTGCAGCCTCAAACTCCTGGGCTCAAGCCGTCCTCTCATTTCAGCTTCCTGAGTAGCTGGGACCACAGATGCACGACAACACACTCAGCTAATTTTGTATTTGTAGAGACTGGGATCTTATTATGTTTCCCAGGGTTGTCTTGAACTCCTGGCCTCAAGCAAGATTGAGTTTTTTCACTCAGCATAATCCCCTTGACATTTTCCCAAGGGGGTCGTTGCATGTATCATTATTTCATTATTGCTGAGTAGTTTTTTTTTTGAGACAGAGTCTCACTTTGTCGCCCAGGCCAGGCTGGAGTGCAGTGGCGCGATCTTGGCTCACTGCAACCTCCACCTCCCAGGTACAAGCAATTCTGCCTCAGCTTCCCAAGTAGCTGGGACTCCAGGCGTGCACCACCACACCCGGCTTATTTTTGTATTTTTAGTAGAGATGGGGTTTTGCCATGCTGACCAAGCTGGTCTCCAACTCCTGACCTAAAGTGACTCGCCCACCTCCTCTGACGACACTTGGCCCTGTGCTTTCTCTTATAAGGACTGTGTGTCCTGTTACGTGTCTGTGTCTTGTGTTCATATTTCTTATTTAGGAGCAAAGATTTCCGTCTTTCAGGTACCCAGTGCCCTTCTCAGAGGTTCTTGTGTTTCCTCTCTGAGCTCCTGTTTCGTTTTTCAGGCACTTATGGATAAACATGTACTGTTGCCCCTGGCCAGCTGTGTTCTTCATTGCCATTTTTATTACACATTATATCTTGGGGAGATCCTTCTGTAACATCCCTCTTTTTTTTTTTTTTGAGATAGAGCCTTACTCTGCCTCCCAGGCTGGAGTGCAGAGGTGCGATTTTGGCTCACTACAACCTCCGTGTCCCAGGTTCAAGCAATTCTCCTGCCTCAGCCTACGAGTAGCTGGGATTATAGGCACGCCGCCACCACACCTGGCAAATTTTTGTATTTTTAGTGGAGACAGGGTTTCATCATGTTAGCCAGGCTGGTCTTGAACTCCGTATCACCTATTTTTATAAGATTTCCCCTGATCATAAAGCAAATTTTAGTAAATTTGGAGAATATTGTTTATAGTAGCAATACTGTAATATTAGAACTATGATATAGTATAAAGCATAACATACAATTACTTGCTGTGCGTGATTGAGTTGAGATTATATATGCTTTTTATTTTATTTTATTTTATTTTATTTTATTTTATTTTATTTTATTTTAGAGACAGAGTCTTGCTCTGTCTCCCAGGCTGGAGTGCAGTGGCATGATCTCGGCTCACTGCAGGCTCCGCCCCCCGGGTTCATGCCATTCTCCTGCCTCAGCCCGCCTATATATGCATTTTTGTATTCTAGCCTTTTCTCTCTTGTACAGGATGATTTTTATGGTATGTAAAAGGCCATTTGCATAGCCTTTTACAACATGCAGAATGAAACTGTGATTTGTGAAATTAACATACACAAGTAGTGAAAAGCTTAAAAAGACACAGGAGGGTGATGAGCACTACCCTTAGAAGAGAGCGACTCCTCATGGGGTGGGTCAAGCATGCAGGGCTTCACCCGTGACCGGGAGTGGACCCTGAGTGGAGGACGCTGGAGCTGGGGCGAGCCAGGCGAGCTGGGGCGAGGTGTGCAACTCTGTTGCTTTTCCTCCAGCTCCTTTCTGGTCTGGTCTCCTATGTGGGGTTTATTCTCCCTCCGTTTCTGTATTTATCTGCTTATTGTCTGCTTCCTCCCACTAGAATCTCGCTTTGTGAGGTCATTTCATGAGCATTTTCCCAAGACATTTAAAATTCCTTGTACATTTCTTTGATTCTTAAAGAGAAAACTTTTCCTTTACGAAAGACGTTTGATGAAAGTTGTTAAACAACAAAACTAAAAATGCACTTGTAATCCTGTCACGTGAGGAAAACCATTGGTTGGATTTTGGTACACACCCTTTCATAGTATTGATTTTATGTAGTATCTGCACCCTCCGCTGCTGACTGGTTATATGTTCCGTGTGTGTCGTCTGCAGTTCCCGGCCTGCGGGCAAAGGCGTGGAGGGGCTCGCCAGAGTGGGATCCCGAGCGGCGCTGTCTTTCGCCTTCGCCTTCCTGCGCAGGGCCTGGCGATCAGGTACGGTCCCCGGTGTGGCGCGTGGTTCTGCTTCCCTAACACACCAACAGTCTGGGTTTCGAGCTCGGTTCAGCCACCGTGTGCCCTTCGGCTGATCCCATGTGCTCTCTGCGCCTCAGTTTCCTTGCTTGTGAGATGAGAGGCTGCAGAGGCTGTTTGGCTTTTCATGTCTGTGCTTTAGAGAAAAAAAAAGAGCAAGTGCATGCACCCCCCACCCCACGCCAGCCACTACCATGGAACATCTGAGTACGGACTTAATTCTAGAAGAACAAGAAGTTAGTGTAGTGCTCATGTGACAGCCACGAAACACAGAATTGACTGGAGCAGCTGTGCTAGATTTTGGCCTGTTGAGTGAGGGATTAGAAAGGGGACAGTGGCATCTTCTCTCGCTGAGGGCTGGGAAGCCCAGCGGGAGAGTAAGGGGAGTGGGGGGGCTCCTCTGACGCGTGTGTGCGCCCAGGCGAGGATGCGGACCTCTGCAGTGAGCTGTTGCAGGAGTCCCTGGATGCCCTGCGAGCACTTCCCGAGGCCTCGCTCTTCGACGAGAGCACCGTGTCCTCTGTGTGGCTGGAGGTGGTGGAGAGAGCGACCAGGTTCCTCAGGTCTGTCGTGACCGGGTGAGTTCTTTCCTTTCTTGCCTTCTGCACGCAGACAGCTGGCCTGCTGGAGGCTGGTTCTTACCACCCTCGCTTTAGAGCTAAGAGGCCTAGTAGGTTGGTTTCTCGCCTGTTTTCAGCAGGCTCTCGGTGCTGTGATTCCGGGTCTGGGTTCTCAGCTTTTCTGGTGATTCGATTTATGATACTCTGACTAGACCCAGGAAGCTGTGATACTAAATGAGACGACGAGGGAGGATGCTTAGAGATTTGGCCATCAGTCATTCGTGGAGGGTTGAGCACTGACATTGTGTGTCCCTCTGTGATGATTAGGAGCTGCTGTTCTGAGTGCAGAGTGGCACTTGGTTTGAGTCTTATAGATAATGTGGGAGTAAACAGCTACTCAAGATGAAATTGTTTAGTCCTGTAACTGATGTTTTTAGTGTAAAAAACTTTGAATAGGAATCATTTGTGTGTAAGGAAAAACATGAACTCTGGTCTTGGGTTCTATGCATTGTCGTTAAGGTTTTTAAATGTAAAGGAATTCAACAGGAAGGACAGATGCAGAGGAAAAGTGAGGCTGCTCCTCACTCTCCTTGCCAGAGGTCAGCACTGTGCCTTCTTCCAGCGGGCAGGAGGCCTTTGGCGTTTGCGCCCCCGGCTCTGAGTCCACTTCCTGAGTCCACTGCCTGCTGGTGAAGGCATCACCACAGAGTTTTAACGCTGGAGGCCCTGAACCTAGGCTTGGACTTGATTTCAAAAATTCAGCTTTAGTACTGATGCCATAAGATCTTTTTTCTGCAGTCTTGGGGTAGAATTTTTAAATATTTATCATTGAGTAACATAGAAAAGTGAAAAATATTTTATTGATCAGAGATAGAAAGTAGTGTAGACATTTTGCCTCCAGATTCTCAGGTGGTTTTAGAAATTGGTTCTCTGATTCTGTAGGTGAATGTTGATACTGTTATAGTCTTACACGTCATTGAAACTGTAAAAGATAGCTAGATAGTCTACTCATGTTTTGGATGATGAGATAAATTATTTTGTGCTTCGCACACTTGGAGTATGTCATCTACTGTAATGTGGTATATTACATGGTATATATTATATAATATGGTATATTACATGGTATATTAATGAATACTTAAAATATAGTTGTGTAAGCTAATTAATCATATACTTTAAAATCTCTGAATAAATCTGAGTAGTAAGTCTCGGAAACTTGATTCTAAATATTAAAAACATTTCCTTCCTTGGGAGGGAGCGTGTAGGAAGCGTGCAGTGTGACTGTAAGCATGCTGTCTGTCTGGAGGTTGCTTTGTTCCTGCATCCTCTGCTTTCATTTCAGGGATGTTCAGGGAACGCCAGGCACCAAAGGGCCAGGAAGCATCCCCCTGCAGGACCAGCACTTGGCCCTGGCCATCCTGCTGGAGCTGGCTGTGCAGAGAGGCACGCTGAGGTGAGGGCTGGCGCAGACTGGGAACGCTTTGGGGAAGTGCCTCTGTATCCAAATACCTGTTGCATTGTGTGCATTTCACTGAATCCTTTGTGACTGCAGCAGATGTGTGGTGCTCTGTAACCAGAGAACCACGTCCCAGAGCTCGCTCTCTCTTTACCTTTTCATCACTTGCTTTTTTATGCTCAGTTTTCTAGCCTGGTAACTGTTCTTTCTTTCTTTTTTTTCTTTCAGTTTACCTAACTTAATTATTTTTATTCCATGAATTTAAGATCCTAGATCTTTCATGTAAACGTGCTCTTTGAGCTTCTTAACTGGTCTTTCCTATCAGCAGAAGGCGATGTCTTGTGCTAAAATCTCCGTGGCAATTCAGTGATTTAATTACCACAGCTTTACTTTCGTTTCCTTTCAGATCCCAAGTATTTCTTCACTTCTATCTAGATGTGTTTGCTTTTATTTTTGATCAACCATGAAGAAAAAAAGTTAATGTGTTTTTACTAGGAATGAATATCTTTTCTCCTTTAGCCAAATGTTGTCTGCCATCCTGTTGTTGCTTCAGCTGTGGGACAGCGGGGCACAGGAGACTGACAATGAGCGTTCCGCCCAGGGCACCAGTGCCCCGCTTTTGCCCTTGCTGCAGAGGTTCCAGAGCATCATTTGCAGTAAGGATACACCCCACTCCGAGGGCGACATGCATGTGAGTGTCATGATCGCACTTTGTGTTTAGGTGGCACTCGATTCTAGTTATTTTTTAAGCCAGACCAGTGTGCATGTCCACGGCAGTGTTTTTCTCTGTTGTGTGTGTGTTTGGTGGTAACAGCAGTGAGTCAGATGAGACAGGTGTGGGAGGTCACTTGTTTGTGGAGAAGACTCGGTGTGGCTCAGTGAGCACTGAGTTCCTTATCAGCGGAGAACCAAGCTTGAAACACGCACTTTTAAATCAGTACCAGAAAAGAACAGCAAAAATGGTGGTCTGCCTTGTTGGCCCTTCCTGTGTGCTGGGCTCTATGCAGGGTATGTCACCTGAACTGTCACTCTGTTGAGTACCAGCTCCCCGCTTAACAGGTGTGGATGCCGAGCTGGGGAGGAGCAGGTGTGTGGGGTCCTGGGCCTAAACCTCCAGGATGCTGGTCTTTACAGGTCAAGTACAAGTTGGATTTTGCCAGTCTTTTCAGGAAAGTCTTAGGCATTTCAATATCGTGCTTTGGTTTAATTTTTCTGTTATTTGGCAGTCTTTTTTTTTTTTTTTTTTTTTTGAGATGAAGTCTTGCTCTGTCGCCCAGGCTGGAGTGCAGTGACGTGATCTCGGCTCACTGCAGGCTGGGCCTCCTGGGTTTATGCCGTTGTCCTGCCTCAGCCTCCAGAGTAGCTGGGACTACAGGTGCCCGCCACCACGCCCAGCTAATTTTTTTTGTATTTTTAGTAGAGATGAGGTTTCACCGTGTTAGCCAGGATGGTCTTGATCTCCTGACCTTGTGATCCCCGCGCCTAGGCCTCCCAAAGTGCTGGGAGTACAGGCGTGAGCCACCGCACCTGGCCTATTATTTGGCAGCCTTTAAACTAATGATAATAGGGCTCTTCTGCCTTTTGAAGAATTAGAGCTGTGATTTAATTTGCAAATGAAAGTAGTTGTTCTCCAGAGTGGGATATTAAAATAAAGATTTTGGTTTTAGCTTTCAAGGCCAGCTTGAGATGCTTTGCTGGGTTTCCCCAGAGGTGGTTCTGCCTTTCTCCAGGGGTCCTAGGCCTGTGGGGTGGTTTGGTTGTGTTAAGTAATCTGTGTGGATTCAACTTACCTGTGGTATCATAAATGTATACATGCACAGTCAGTGTTGTGGACATGTATATCACAAACTTAGACAGTTACCCAGTTTATATGCTGCATAAATATGTAGATGTGTAGTATAACTGTATCATCAACATTGTCATTTGATGTGTCAGATGAGTCAATACCAAAATATAAAGAGTGGTTAAAGGCTAATTGTGTCACTTTAATTTTTCTGAATGTTTGTTTACTTTTCCTTTCTAGCTTTTGTCTGGTCCCCTGAGCCCCAACGAGAGTTTCCTGAGGTACCTCACTCTTCCACAAGACAACGAGCTTGCCATTGACCTGCGACAGACGGCGGTTGTCGTCATGGCCCACTTAGACCGTCTGGCTACGCCCTGTATGCCTCCGCTGTGCAGCTCTCCGACGTCTCATAAAGTGTGTGCAAGAACCACGTTCTCCATGTGTTTTGTGGCTAGTACCACTTCTAGGTTGTCATCCTGGGCCCGTGTGGAGACTTGCGTTTTCTGGTGTTGATGGGGGGAGCTGGCCTGTGGTTTTAAATGTGTTTGCAGTTGAAGGTGTTATCCGTGTTGAGAGTGAGTGATGAGCAAGCTGAGGTGCACAGGCCTGGGGACCCAATCTGGGGGCCAGGTTCTAGGTTCAGGTGGCACAGCCCCAGAAATCTCCCCTTTATCCACAGCCCCAGGCCCTCCCACCTTCTGCAGGGGGTTCCACAGCCTTCTTTATACTCTGAATGCAGACTGTCTTAGTATGTAATGCTGGTTATGGTAGTGACAGTATAATTCTATATTCTATCTGTTATGTAATAGTAATGGTAATAGTAGTGATTTGCGTGTGTGGAGCACCTGTAGGGTGCAGGCCCGCTGAGGACCTCATGCACGCTATTGTGGATCACTATGTCAATGATAAAACTGCCTTTGGGAATGGTAGTGAACTTTCCTAGGGTAGAACAGTAATCCTAGTTTTGAATCCAGATTTTTTTAACATTTTATTTCTAATATGAAGAGTATTTATTTTGTTTTACAATAAAAAAAAAAAGAGTCACATGGTTCAAAAATCAAAACTAGGCAGAGACACACTGTCGCTTCCCTTGCCCACCCCTTCTACCCAGTTTCCCACCTGCCCCCTCTCACTTTTCAGTCTCCTCTGTAACCTCCTGGTTCTCTGGAATGACTATGCTAGTGGTAGCATGTTGCATTACTTGTGTTGCTTATTTTTTTTTTACTAACCATATATACTGGAGTACTTTATCAGAGTGTCACTATTTGTTTTTATAAAGTAGCTTACTCTTCAGTGTGCGGATGTGTCTTTTATGTGTTTTTCTTTAGTGAGTCTCTTATTGGTGGACACCTGGGCTTACTGCCACAGTGTTGCTATACAAGTAGTGCTGAGGGTCGGGTGTGGTGGCTCACGCCTGTAATCCCAGCACTTTGGAAGGCCTAGGTGGGCGGATCACCCGAGGTTGGGAGTTTGGGACCAGCCTGGCCAACTTGGAGAAACCCCGTCTCAACTAAAAAATACAAAAATTAGCCGGGCTTGGTGGCACATGCCTGTAATCCCAGCTGCTCGGGAGGCTGAGGTAGGAGAATCACTGGAACCTGGGAGGCAGAGGTTGCTGTGAGCCAAGATCGCACCATTGCACTCCAGCCTGGGCAACAAGAGTGAAACTCCATCTCAAACAACAACAATAAAGCAAACACAAATAGTGCTGCAGGGCCTGCCCTGGAACACGTGTGCTCCATGTGTGCACGCGTGTGTGCCTGTGCACATGCGCAGGTGGGGATGCACCTAGTGTGGGCTGGTTGTCACCAGGTTGCTCCTGCACGACTTGATTTCTGTCACCGCCGACACGGATGCTGGTCTCCCTGCCTCGTGTGTGGGCTTTTGGGATTTTGCCTCCTAAAGCACAAGATGGTGACCCTGATGTAGTTTGAGCATTTTAAAATATATTAGTATTTAAGGGCCATTTATAGTACTTTTTAATGGGCTCTGTTAAAATGAAATGCAATGGAAATGGAAAAATAACGTGTTCAGTTGCTTCATCATACCTGTTAAATGAGGTAATACAGCGTGGTACCAGCCATTTTGATGTTTTGAATCTGCGTATTTTCTCTTTATTTGCTTTGTTTTTGTCTTATAATATCTCAGTGTTACTCCCAGTCGTTTTTGTTTTGTTTTGTTTTGTTTGTTGCTGTTGTAAAAGAAAACGTTTACTTTCTTACAGGGATCATTGCAAGAGGTCATAGGTTGGGGGTTAATAGGATGGAAATACTATGCCAATGTGATTGGTCCGATCCAGTGCGAAGGCCTGGCCAACCTGGGAGTCACACAGATTGCCTGTGCAGAGAAGCGCTTCCTGATTCTGTCACGCAATGGCCGTGTGTACACACAGGCCTACAATAGTGACACACTGGTGAGTGTTCTGGGCACTGTGCCTGCAGTGTTCCCTTGCGGGGCAGGGTCTGTACTGCAGATGCACAAACTGTGGGGTTTCTTTCAGCCATTTGATTTCTGAAGATTGATTAAGTTTCTGTTTATTGTATATTATGTTTAATAATCTCAGTTTTAATATTGTCAAGATTTGGGTTGTGAAGATTAGGAAGTCCTTACAGTGAAACTCATTGCTAATCATGAGATTTCCGTTTGTAAACTCACTTTACACATGTAAACTCATTTGACTTTGGGGCCAGGCAGGTGACAGATGAGGGAGTTGGGCCTCATGGGGATAGTGGCAGATTGGGACGTGGTATGTTTTCATTAAAGCGAGGTGTTCCTCCCTGTCGGCTACATGTCTCTGTGGCACGGGGCTAGCCTGCCCAGCCCCTGCATTGGCTCTGGTCCTGCCTGGCCCCCGCATCGGCTCTGGTCCTGCCGCGGCGCACTTGGAGGCTGCCTGCTGTTCTGTTGGTGCTGGGTGGGAAGGGCTGGAGAGCCGGCCCCGTGGCCCCCAGAGACTTGTGCCCCACTTCCAGTTAGAGCAGGCGTTGCTCGGGGACACATGATAAAGGAGAGCTGCGCTGGTTTATTTTCCTTTTACTGATGACGACTTTTCTTCATATTTTTCCTTTTTTAGGCCCCACAGCTGGTCCAAGGCCTTGCGTCCAGAAACATTGTAAAAATTGCTGCGCATTCTGATGGTCACCACTACCTGGCCTTGGCTGCCACTGGAGAGGTGTACTCCTGGGGCTGTGGGGACGGCGGACGGCTGGGCCATGGGGACACTGTGTATGTATTGCTCATTCCTGTAGGGGACACACTCCTCTTTTATGTTGCCATATCCTAAACAGGCTGGAGCGCAGAAGCGTGTCCATGTGTTTGCCAGCTGCCCTGACGTGTAGCGCTGGGTTGGAGCGAGACACTACGATATGCTGCCTCCTTGGTGATGGCTTAGGAGCTCTGCCCGTGCGTGGAAGGCAACAGGAATCGGCCTTTCTGCTCTTCTCCACCCCGTGCAGCCTTGGCCGCCTTGTCTCTACTCAAATCACATCCCCACTATGGAGTTTGCCAAAACAAATCCCCCAGCACTGTTCCTTCCTTCACAAGCAGTTCACCCGTCTCCCATAGATAAGGTTGTCACCCTTTCCTTGAGCCATTAGATTATTTTTACAGGAACGAAAATCAGCAGTTTCTTCCTAATATTATCCTATTCAGTTGAACCTTTTATTGTGAAAGAACAGAAATAAAATAGAAAGTTGTTACAAATGCCAGGTTGTAAAAATTGAGAGGTCTGCCAGCCCCATGGAGTGATGGGAACCCTCTTGTTCTTTGCTGTTGTGTGTGGAACTCTGGCATTAGGTTTAAATGAAGGATGTATGTACAGACCAACGCAGCAAGCCCATTTCATGCGGGCCGGAGCCCTGAGCACGGAGTGGGCAGTGCAGAGCTTGAAATAAGCCCTTGTGTCCCTTGAGAGGAGCCCGCAGGGCATGGCCCATGCACACCACAGGGTGGAGTTGAGGGCATCATTGCCGACAGCATCCGCTGGGAAGATCCCAAATTGGGAGAAAAGCAGAGTGATGTGTATTGTGCGGTACATGTATGCCAAGCTCAGAACAGCCCAACCCTGACAGTGTTGTAAGGGATTCAGACAAATGTTGTAAAACGAGTGAAAAAGAAAAGATTGATCTGCATGGAATTTATAGCTGTTACTCTCACACTGGATCCTAAGGGCTGGGATTGACATGGGGTTCACTGGACTTGAAAGGCATCGAAGTACAAGATGGGGTGGTATGTCTGCTTACTTCCTTTATGGTATTTATAACTGACTTTGTGTAAAATATTTCGTAGTAAAGCAATTCTCAGTCGGGAGTAAGTGCTGGGATGAGTAACTTATTCCTTATTCTAGGACTTCAAGGAAGGAAGAGAGATCAGTGCAGATGACAGAAGCTGGAGATAACCTTTTGGGGAAGTTGAAACTTAAGCTGAATAAGGGAGAGGTTGTACTGGAGTAGAGTCATTGGGCTGTCTCTGTGTGCGCCTGTGCCACTGTGTGTGTATTTTGCGAACTAGTAGGTCACAAAGTGAGTAAAACCATGTCTTTGGAGAGGCCTGGCTTCTGTAGATTCTCAAGAAAATGTCATCCGTCATAGGAATATATTCTGGATCCTAAGAATAGAATATTTTGTTAACTTTGCAATTTCTTCGACTAGTAAGACTTCTCTACCCTCATCCCCACTGTCTCATACTTTTCATTTGTAAAGTACAGATTGCCGAGTGCTGGCTTCATTCCATCCACATTCATTTAACAAATACATGTAAGTGTCGGTCGGCTTTATGAGGCTTACGTACAACCAGACGACTGAGTTTCGGGTGTAGAGTTGGGTGGGTTTTGGCCAGTGCCCTCAGCTAGGGAGTCACCACCATCAAGACATGGGGCGTGCCCGTCGTGTCCAGGGCCCTGTTTGTGCCCTTTGAGTTGATCCCCACTTCCTCCCTCCAGTTCCTGACAACCTCTGCTCTGCCCTGTCTTGTTATTATTTTGTCTTTTCCATAAGTTAATATAAACAAAGCCATACAGTGTATGGTGTTTTATTTCTGGCGTCTTTCACTTAGCTTGATGTCTTGAGATCCAACCACGTTGCTGGGTGTGTGGGTAATTCCTTCCTTCTGTTGCAGATGGACCATGGCTTTTTTTTGGTTTTGTTTTGTTTTTTTTTTTGAGACGGAGTCTCGCTCTGTTGCCCAGGCTGGAGTGCAGTGGCCGGATCTCAGCTCACTGCAAGCTCCACCTCCCGGGTTCACGC